GTAATTGATTCATCAACTTTAGTATGAAGTGAATGTTATTCTCGTTTTGAGTATTAATGAAAAAAAACAAAGAAAGTTAATTGAAATATAATAAAGAGAAATAAATATATTACAGTAAGAAGTGTGTATCCATTTGTTTTATTTCAAATAAAAGTAATACTGTCAAAAATAAAAATAATAAAAAAAAATATTCTATTCCTGTGATGAAGAACAAAACAAAATTCATTGAAAGAAAGATATATTGAAAGAAATTTCATAGCTGCTACGTAGGCGAATATTTTCTTTTGAGAATTAAAATATCATGAAAGTTTTATTATAAATTATTTGGACCTCACTAAAACAAATATTTCAACTAGTATTCATGCTTGCTGAGGCAAAATCAGCTTGTTTTTTTAATTTTCTGGAAAGTAATTTCGACTCATCTTTGATTAAAAAGCTTATCAATCTGAGTACAGCACATGTTGCAGATGATTTAAAAATAAACGTGATAAAACAAATTGATTCTTCATTTGTTTACACGACTACTGTGTCAAAGTCTTCCTGATGTTAAGACTGAAATAGTTTATTAAGTAAATTTTTTATTAACAAATCTTTTTACATTTGATATATTTCAAAGTCAAAAATAACTTGTGAACATCTAAATTAAAAATAATTAGTAAATAAGAAAAAAAAAAACATGGATATCTTAATAAACACTCCAAATAATGTATCCAAGACGTTGCTGATGAAAGAACGTTTTCATTTAGAACAATTTTAAATAACAAATATTTTATGAGAGATCAATGATATAAATCATCGAAATAAATAAAATATCTGACTTTATATCATTCTAAGTTTTCAATCGATAAAATCGACAGGTCAAATAAGCAAGAGCAGTGTTCATAATGAAAATCTAAAATAAAATGTACGGTACACCCTATTTTATATGAACACAGTGTATATCAGAGCTCTGCGTAGGATGATATGGGACATCTCAATTGTCAAATACCTTTGAAGAAGTTTAATTTATTCAAGACTTATCGATGGACTGAAACTATGAAACATTATATTATTTCATCTTATATTTTATAATTTTATAATAATCAGGTTCATAGTTTGTTTTTTCTTCATTTAGAACGAACATAAAAAAATATCATTCTCTTTATGAATGTAAGATTTTAGAAAATAGAGAAAAAGAAAGTAATACATAGTGTAGTCAAAAAGTTCTCGTAATAGTACTCTAAAATTTCATCCTGATGTTGGCCTATTTTAGCAGTGATATCTGTTATGTGTTAAAATACCAATACGAAGTTTCACAAGCGTTTATTATGACAAATCTTTAATCAATTTTCTCAACACCTCTGTTTTCAGATACATAAACTTTATATTCGCTCATATATAGAAACTCATTGGTTATTAGGTTTAAATGCCACACAAATTCATGATGAATTAACTGCTGCTTATGTACAAGGTGTTGTTTCATATAGTGCAATTGCTCATTGGATTGATCGATTTTTAAATGGACGAGAGTCGTTGGAAGATAATCCTCGTAATGGTCGTCCAATAACTGTCATTACTAAACAAAATATTGATGTGGTCCAAGACCTGGTGAATGATGATCCACATATTAGTATTGATTATGTTACTACCATCTCAGATAGA